TGTGAGGGAAGCTCTTCACTGATCTTTCATTTGTAAGAGTAGCTCAGGATCAGCAGCTGTTCTGCTTTGCCTCAGTAAATGCTGTCACTCAAACTATCCAACCAATCAGGGTTTACATCATTACAACCACAGCAGCAGCAGCAGCAGGTACAAATGACCTCTGAGTGCATACAGACTAAACCTGACATTAACATTTCCTCTAACTGTCAGGGTCCCTGTGCCTACCCGGTCGGCTCAGCATGGCTACATATGTTTTTATTTTCATTTTTGTTCCTGCTCTCTCCCTTCCTCTCTTTCCCTCCTCCATCTGCCTGGGCGGAGCTCTCCTGTGGGCTCCTGCCCTTGACCCACGCACCTAGTTGCAATCACGCACCTGTGGCTCATCACGAGAGTGTTCCAGCTCATAATATTGCAGCTCTGTGTTTCTCGTCGCTGGACCGTTGCCGACCCTCATTCCCTGGACCAACCCCTGTGTTTCCTGAGTGATTGAGTGTACGAGGAGTGGAGTGCGCCATCGTGTTTTCTGTGGAGTGTGAAGAAGAGCGTGAGGAGTGGACGGAGTGCGTGTGGACTTTCAGCGTCTTTCCCATTTGTGTGTGGACCCCTGGAGCCCGGCTTTCCCCTCACCTTTGTAAATAGATCACCTGGTGTGCTGTAATAAAGACTCTTGTGTTTCCTAAACTTAGAGCCTGCGCGTGAGTCTGTTCAGTCCCGTTGTGACACTAACACACTCACCTCTTCAACACTGTGTCACTGCACTGTGGAAAAGGAGACCAGCTGCAGAGCAGAGCCACAGTGAACACTGGAAAAAAGGAAAATACATTTTATCTGTTTAATTTAATCACCATTCATTCATATTTACACAGAATTTTAGATGTGACATAATATGAGATAAACACTAACAGTGACGGCTGACCTCAGAAAGTCAGATGGGGGACTTTCAATCATCCAGCTGGTCGCCACGGTGACCAATTTATGGCCCCACGAACCACAGAAGCACAAAGAGGAGGTCACGATTCAGAGCGAAACTCCTGTAACACACAAACAAACAAACAAACACGTGTGAATCTAAAGTGTTTGATGGTTTAAAAACCAGTGAAAACTCAACTGAAGAACGACAATCAGGATGCTGTGAAACTGCAAGAATGAAATATCTAAACCAGCTTAAACCACTGTGATTTTATCGTGGTGGAAGCAAAACGGCAAAAGTAATAGTGAATTCATGACAAAGTTTAAGTGAAGCAAAATGTGAAGCATAGTTTGGATCTTCTTTTGCTCCTGGTTCAATCCAATTTGGTTGGAGAG